TGAATCTTCCCTCTCTTCTCATTAGTTTAGACTTCTCTATTTTGGGTCAGTCTATTTTGGCTGAATTCATTTTGAGCTGCTCTTACTCTACAAACTAATCTTTCCCTCTGTGATTGTTACCACTTCAATTCTTACAGCTTTTCCTTTTTTTTTTTTTTTTTTTTTTTTTGTCTAGTTTCAAACTTATTTTCCTTAACAGCCAAACAGGTTTTCAAACAATTAGGCAAAAGTAAAAATGATACCTTCAAGATATCATGAATGAATTTTAAGTTTTGACAAACTATGCACAGACTCAGTCCGTGAGGTGGCTGACTACAGCCTTTGATCACCTTTTACTCTGTGGTGGCCAAAGTACACATATGTACACAAATAAGAGCACTATTAAAAAGTGTGTTTCAAAAACAACACCTCTCAGACTGTTATATATTTTAGATCCTGAAACAACTCTAGAAGTTTTATTTATTTTATTTATTCTGATCTCCTGCCTATCAGCACTGTATATATTCTGACCTGTGCCAAAGCCAAAATAACAAAGTACATATACAACATAAATTTCAAAATAATTGGTCACTTTTAAATTACTGTATGAACCAACTTTCATACCCTAAGAAAAGGAAGTCCTTTCTTTCTAACAGTCTTTACCTCCCAGCTTGTGATCTCACAGGAAAGAGTCTTAAACTTCCTTAAACTACATGAAATATTTGCACATGTTTATGTATACATCTGTATCATTTTTCTGGGAATAAGAGCTTGTTAGATCCTTATGGCTGTAATAATGCGTTGGCCCCTAAGTATATATCAGTCTGACACTTTGTATCATTCAAAATTCCCCACTAATGTACTACACTGTCTGCCACTAAGCCATCATTATCTTTTGTCAAGTTCAAGAGCCATATTTACTAGAAAATATATTACATTTCATCTAAACTATGTTAACTTGGAATAGCATTATAAGTCAATAGGGTTGCTTCAGCTACTGAGCTTGTATTTTGCTGCAGACTTATTCACTCCCTACTCTGGATTTATGAAACATCCCATGCACAATATTTCAAGAAAACATATACCACATTGTAGAAGAAATACAACAAACTTTCACCAATACCTAGTTAATCTATCCTAGCATTTTAACTTTTGCTTTCAACTTTTTATAAAATATAGTTGAAATATTTATAATATATTAAAAATTTCCTAGGCTTACTTTTTATATATTTAGATAAATGTTGGTATATATAGAAATGATGAAATACTCATTTTCTTAGTGGCCAAAGCACATTTGTGTGCACAGTTCACTTAAACTCAAATGTTACAAAATCTAGGATTTAAAGAGCATGATATACTAATTCTAAAGTAATTTGGATGCCATCAGCTGAATATTTACTAATGTGTGTATGTAAAAGAGGTGAAACAAAGATTATCTACAAGCAAATATTGAGCTGAACATTTATTCGGGAGAAATTATGTTACTGATTTTACAGAATTTATAAAAATTCTTTTTTTCTAAAATTAAATAGAATCAATATTCATCTGAGTTTCCTTATATCAGTTGTTAAATTGTATTATGTTGAAAGGCTGAAATTAACACAAGACCTGTGTTCTCATTTCTTTGATAAGTTAAATTGATAAATTACAACAACAAATAATTAAATACAATTAACAGCAAATTTAATTGCAAATTATACACAATTTTGTTTACAAAGTGAATAATTTATTAACCAGAGGATGTCTTATTTCTCCACACATATGTATATCCAATCATATATATACACATATACAAGTCCAACAATATTAAATATTTTAGACACATATTTTGCAAAGCACTCATTTTCTGTTAAGGAAAATCTTTGAAATTATATGCTCACAATAAATTATTTAAAATATTTTTGAGCTCTACACTTTCAATGCTTTCTTTAAACTCTATACTCTAATGAGATGTTTACTTGAGAGCATTTAAGACACCAGAGGACTCAATGAACTCTTTATAATATGATGGGCTAATAAAGAGTCTGAAGACTTACTGTGTATGAGATACTAATCCCAGCATTGAAACTTATTTTATTCCATCAAAAACTCTACAACAAAGACACTGCCAGTGCCACATTTAACCATACAGGAAGCAGAAGGGAAGAAATTAAATAATGAGAAGTCTAAACTCACAGCTCATCAGTGATACAAAAAAATACAGACTATAGCCTGAAACTACACTCAGTGCTTTCAGTCTCAACTTTTTTCTGGCTCTATACTTCACTAAGGTTTTTCTTAACCCACAAAATAGCTGCCAAATTAAAAAAAAATAGTTTATTGTATATTTTGTTTCTTTAAAGTTCTCCAAATATAAGATATTCATGATTTTCTCAAGAAATGAAGAACATTTTTTCCAGTTGAAATTCATCCAGCAGAACTATGAATCTCTATGGATTTCTTAAAGTAGAAATATGTATTTACTGAGGACCAGGCTTGGTAGTATTTGATCTCACAGATTGCTTTAGAAACGTGAGAAAGTCATTTGCTGACTATCCACTATTTAGTTTGAATTTGTTATATTTATTGTGTGAAAACTGGTTATTAAAGCTTAATAATCAGCTTATAAATCTCTTTGATGTTGGCAGAAATATTAATGAATCAGTTTTCAAGGAATTAAAGTTAGTTTTTTCCTTTTATTTCCCCATTAAGTAAAAAAGAGGATCTCAGTGGTTTAGTTAAAAAGGAATCTAAAATTTATTAGAATAATTAATATTTCTCAAGATAGTCATTGACTATTTATTATATGAAATAAAACTATTTGCTTAAAAAAGAGCTGTTTGATAATCCACTAAAGAGTTTTATATATCATATAAGCTTGAGTAAAATTTATTAACAAAATGCCTACTGAATTCTAACACTTGAAGACACGAAAGTAGAAAGCCTGCTCAGGGCTGGCCTTAGTAGAGGGAAGACAACAAGAAACTCATCAAGAATCCAGTGCCTATGAATGGCAGAGACTGACAAACTTTTGTCCACTTAAACCATTACTCCATTTTATTTCAGACAAGACAAAACAGGCTCCAGCACTTTTAGTAGTTTGCCAAAGACACTAAGAATTTCAAAAGCATTTGAGATTTGAAAACATGCTTGTTTCATACAGTCTTGTTATTTTAGTGCTTAAATAGGAAAAATAGATAATTGTCTATGTGAACAGATTTTAAGCACATAAAGGCTCCCTAGGCCTCCAAACTGATGCAATAAAAAAGATCTTGAAAAGCTCTTAACTTACATATGTTAGAAAGCTTTAGTCAAAGATTTTAAACAGCATGTAAAAAAATAATGATCAAGTCTGTATTGGCCCTCAGATTTTCCTTTTACCTATTTTCCTTTTAGGAGACATGTGATGTAATAACATGGATATTGTGTTTCCTGGATCTAAATGCTTATTCCTCATAACCATAAAACCCTTGCAACTTCAGCAATCTTTCAAATCTCCATTTGAGTTGGTTTATTATGTCCCTTCTGGCTCATGTCTGATTTTCATAAAGGAATGGCAGGGGACAGGGAAATCCAAGATTATTGTTAAGATAGGAAGCTTCTCATTGGGTACCAACACCCTGCTGAATGAAGCTGAAAATAAGTATTGAAATCCAGCTCACACTCGGATATCTCAATACTGCATCCACCCAGAGGGGCAATGTCTAACTTGCATAAAAGAACCACAGAAGATCTGAGAAGACCTGGAGGAAAGGAGGTAGTTAATTGCAAAGCTATTCAGTTCCAATTTCTATCAGAAATGAAAAGATCCAGCATACAGCACTCATGATGAGAAAATTTATTAATTCAGTAAATCAGAGCCAGGGTATGGAGAGGTATTTAGTTGGTTTCGGGGAATAAAATTTTATTTCAGGAGAACCACCAGCAGCACGTTCTACATTACTCTATGGGACATGAGAATCATTACTAAGGGAGTCTGGGAACATTTTTTAAATGGCATTCAGAAAGTAGGATTTTTAAAAAACCCTCATATTCCTTGATTTGATGATTCTGTTTCAAAAATACTTAGTCTACTAGAAATAAAACAGCATGATTGTGTTTATGTCACATTTGAAAAAGTTATCACACCATTGCTATGAAAAATTTTGGAGACTGTAAAGAAATATTTTGAACATCAACTTACCATGTCTGTACTTCCTGAAGGTAAAATGGAATTTTCTATTTTAAAGCCTCATACTTCTGAAATTCTAATAGCCACTCACTTTTTTGAGCACTTTTTTGAGGCACCATACTAGACAGTTTGCATACACAATGCTTTCTTTCCTACCCAAAATAAATACTCTGCAGGTTGTGTTACTATTTCCTTTCTCAATAAGCACATCAAGGTTCAAGCATGTACTGCTACTTTCATATAACTATCACTGATCTTAAATTCAAATCTATGTTGCTGATTTTTAAAAGTTCTTTTTCAGCACGTTTGCAACACATAATGATCACATCCATCACAGGGGATAACACAGTTTAATTCTTGCTTCTTGTTCCCTTCCTCTCCCCTTTCTTCAAAGCTCTATTGCCATTTTTTTCTTCAATTATTTCCCTTTTCCTTTCTCGCCTCCCCCACTATCTTTTATTCCCCTTCCCATTTGAACAGTTGTTTGACTTCCTAATATCTGCCTCCCCTTTTGCTCTTTATTTATACTTTGGCTTTTTCACACAATAAAACACTGCAATATGCAAACTGGCATGCCTGATTAATCTCGCTTAAGATTTAAATTGGAGCCTTTGCCTCCTCACTGAATGCTCTGAGAATTCTACTTAGGGCAGGCAGGCTGATCAAAATGTTGATGTGACATTTGTAAAGTATAATATCTTGAATCAAATATGACGACCCATGCACGTTCCTACTATTTCTTAAAGTACTAATCTGTTGGGAGCCATAATTTGCAGTCCCTCATGATGTGCTTAACCCATTAAGTCTGTGCAGGTCACAGCTAATGCTGAATTCTAAGAAATCAGATAGGAAGCGTGTGGTAGCTGCTTACCTGCTCCAATAACTTGTGTCCATTGACATGAGCCTGCAACAAGGCATCATTAACCAGCAAGTGGAAGTTCAGGAGCACATGTTCAACGTCATAGGTCCCATGCATCGCATTTGACAGCTCTTCTAAGGACCGGATGTACGTATGCCAGTGTGGATTAAGCTCAGCCATGTGTGCCAGGCAGCCCCTGACAACATTAAGGCAGTATCCCATACACGGCTTACTGAGAGTCAGGCCCTGGCAGTGTGGGCAGTACTGCATCTTCAGGAGGGCTCTGCTGCACTCTTTGGAGAAGTGGAGATGGTCCGTAGTGTTGATGACTTCAATGGCCAGATTGAGAGCCTGCAGAAAGGTGCGGCTAGGCAGCAGAGACCTCCCCATCTGCCCCATCACTCTCTTGGGAATACTGCCAAATGGACTAATATCCCGCCGAGCCATGCGGATGCATTCTGCATATTCCAGGGAACTGTCTGTCACACCAGGATTAATGAGATGGTTGTAGACCAGGGGAAAAAGACTGTCAAAAAATCTGTTCACAAATTCTTCAGGACTGACATCTGCCCCAAATAAATAGAGTCCCACATCAGTGAAGAACTCTTGAACAGAAGCAGCAGCTTCTAAAGCCATGTTCCTGTAGGTGTTACAGAAAAGTCTGCTGGTGTAGTTCTCTGCTTGTCTGATGAGAGTTTCAAGGGTTTCTGTAACACAGCAAAGGTACAAGTTGCACTGACTTAGTATTCACATTAAAAATGGCCAATTTGCTCCAGAAGTAAAACTGAGTTTAGTGCACCATAACTAACCTAAGGATCAATCATAAAACCAAAGGACAATGGCTGGACAATAATGGGCATTACAACACACAAGATTCATAGTAACATGTTTGCTACAATCAAAGTCTACTAATAAATTCAGAGATCAAAAGTAAGTATTATGTATAGGTAGTTTATCACTGATCTTATTTTATAATCACTCATATCCCATTAATGACAAATGCAACTCATATCCTGAATTCACTATTTATAAAAGATAGCAACATTAAGTATTTGATCTTCTACATACTATATTTTTAAAGTCTTCTTTCATCTTTTTAGAATGAAAGTAGACTATGCATTAATTACTAATAAGAGAAACCAAATTCTAAAAAAATTAAGAATTCTTTTGCTTTTTAACATGCCCAAACTAAAAAGTAAGTAAAACATGTCATAATTAGACTACCTGTAAATTATCAGGCCTCATTAAGCAGTGGGAAAATTATGAGTGATTTTATACTGCGATAGTAAATAATAATGACCTCCTTATCAATTACGTTCTGCTGTTCTTGTCATCCTATCTTCAAAGACTGCTGAGGGGTATTTCATTTCTCACCTAAGTAATTGATGCTCCCAAATCAATTTCTCCATAGAAAGAACCGAGAATAATTTATCAGCAAATTAAGGAAGAAATGTTGAAAATGGGATCGGAGTAATCAGCAAGTTAAAATGGTATTTCAAAATGATGACATTAAGCAGCAGAAAGTTACCTTGGATGTGCTAGTAATTATATTTCATCATTAACCCAAATAATGATACCTGGATTGTATCACTATGTAATTAATTATAAAAATAATCAATAAAATTATCTCCCATGGCTCCAATCTCATCGTTCTTTTTAATTAGGCTGTAGAAGACCCCACCATAATTCAGTACCCAAATCACCAGGTATATTATACGAAGAAATGAAAGAACAGTAGAAAAAATGAAAATCAAATAATAAGAGCAGGGGCTGGGGGTTTAGCTCAGTGGAGTAAGCCTGTTTGGCAAACACAAGGTCCTGAGTTCGATCCTCGACACCAAAAATAAAATAAAATAAAATGATAATAATAATAAAAGCAGAGATTCAGGAAAAGCTGCTAATAAATAAAACTGGATAATAATATTATTCTCACAAAAGCAAAAGAAAACAAATAAAAAACAAGACAAAAACTTTATTTTTCATGAAAAAGTACAAATGAATACAATCTCCTGAGTTTTCATTTTGCTCTGAGACTCAGTCCCACCAGGCTTGAGGCTTCAGTGTAATACAACCAGGTGCACCTATCCTGCAACTACAGGCAACAAGGTTAAAAACACAGCATATTACAAACTCAGGAGCCTGTTAACAAGGTCGCTCTCCTGTGTGTCTATTCATTCCCAGTGCCCACTGGACTCACAGGTGTCCCCACCCTGCGGCTTGTGGTTAGACACACCCTGTCTGGCTGGGTCACACTGAGTAAAGAGGAATTGTATTGGGCTGCATAGTTTTATACAATATAGTAAGTACACACATATAACAAAACTTCCTACTTAAGATTCTTTTTATTTTATTACATTCCCAACCTGGGGAGCATGTCTTCTTCAGCAACAACTCCGTAACAGCAACTCAATCAAAATGTGAAAGAATTACAAGGCGGTAACTGAAGGCTTCAACTGGGATTAACTGCTCTGGCAAGCTTGATAGCATCAATACCCTTGTTTCCCAACTGGCCTCATCACTGGATGCATACGAGAAAATATAGATTTCCAGGTCCCTTCTAACTTGAAAGGTCTTTCTTGACCCAGGAATCTACATTTCCTGAGCAACACAGGTGATGCTTTTGACACAGCCAATGTGAGCAACACTGTAATTGCAGATATGGAAAGATGTTGTCTGTTCTTACAGAGAAGGCTGACCAGTGTTCCATCATGGCAGCCCAACCCACAGCTTCAATATCAGCCACAATCTCTGCATTCACAAATTCACAGAGTTTCTGTGAAAATCAAATTGCATTTGTTGTGGCTTAAAGTAAAATAAAACTTGTAAGCTTATGTTTGTCTCCGTAACATACTCTATTTTCTCATCGACGTGTGGGTAGCTATTGTTAGATAGCTCTCAAATGAGCTTAGTTATCAATAATATTTAAAATTCATTTACAAATTAATGAATTTATTGAGATTAATAAGGGTAGTTAAAGCGTATCCCCATATCACATCCATTCTTATATGCTTTCCACTAGGGTTTCCAAGGTGTGTGTTACAGATGAGTTTGTGAATTAACATCTGCCATATTATTCTCTGTGGAATAGTTTGATTGTTGCTGACTCAGAATACAAACATTCTATCTGATTTCTGCCAATTCTAAATGATGACTAAACATGCATTCTTTTAAAAGTCAAACATAGGCTCTTTCTTTACACATTCCAAACCCAGTAAGTTAAAATATAGTAACTGGGGCCAGTGATATAGCTCAGTGGCACAAGAGCATGCCTCGCAAGTCCAAGGTCTTGAGTTTGATTCTCAGTATAATACATATATATATATATATATATATATATATATAGAGAGAGAGAGAGAGAGAGAGAGAGAGAGAGAGAGAGATTGAGGACTCTATGGAATTTATCTGTCAGTAACTGTAACTCTATGTTTTTAATTTATTTTGTGAAAACAGCATTATTAGACAATATATTTGTTATTTAGGAATACTTATTCAAACACAAATATAGTACCTCCAAATATCATTTATTAAGTTCACTCACACTAATAGTAATATACTAACTCTAATTATTGCTTGAGTTTATAATTAAAAAATAAATTTCTGACCAAAGTCTAACATCCTGATTCTATTTAATCTCAGATTAGTCTTCCTCTTAGTCTTACTCTTTTCTGAAACAAAATAAACAAAAATAAGAAACATAGTCATGAAATTTTAAAACTTCAATATTATATATAATTTTAGCTTTCATAACTATTATTTTAGTTACTTTGCAGAATAGATTACATGTTTTCAAGGATTAATAATCTTACAAAATATTTTGAATTTCTAAACAAAAATGGATATAAAAATAGGCTTACTTTACTCTGTTACTCGTCACAATTTAAAGATGTTTGCTTTTAATCTATTTTAAATTTGATATTGAAACATTCCAGTCAATTGGGTTATATAAACATGTTATGTGTATATTTTATGAGTTTTTTTGGTGGGGGGAGGGATGTACTGGGGACTGAACTCATGACCTTGCACTTGCCAGGCAGGCACTTGGACTATTGAGCTAAATCCTCAGCTTTGAGTATATTTGTGATCATAAAAGTTTCTTAAATCCAACCAAAGAAAACTGTACACTACTGTTGTTCTACACATGCATTATTCTTAGCACTTATGGATAAACATAGTTTCATGAATTTTTGTTCTTGATCTCCTCAAAAAATTTTAATGCATGAATCCATACCAAAATTAATAATTTAGAATCAAATCACTGGTTAATTTTGTCAATAATTTTTAAAGTAAAAGTTGATAAAATTAGGAATTAAATTTACAAAATTAGTTGATATTAACTCTGAATCTGAAAAGCTATCATTTTGTTCTCAGATCATGTTTATCAGTGAGTTAAGATTCATAGAATTGGGGCCAGGGATTTAGCTCAAAATCGTGAGGTCATGAGTTCAAACCCCGGTACTAAAAAAAAAAAAAAAAAAAAAAAAGATGTATAGCATTAACATTATAATATTAGCAAGAATTTAAGCATTCAAAAGTATTTGTTGTTCAAAAAATCTATATATAAAATTAGTTTTTATTAATCCAAGGTAAATTAGGTGCTGAGTAATTTGTTGTCTACCTAATTATTAAAGAGAAATTATACTTTTCATTACAAAGTTTAAATATATAACAAGTAGCCCCCATTTAAATTATACAAGTAGTAGTGTTCTATCCATATGCTAGTGATATATCACTGAAAATAAACATTTACCAGGTCTGCTTAAGGAACTTAGGGAACAGACCATAAAAAACACTTTTGTGTGATTGTCATTGATAATTTTAATATGTTTCTCTTTCAGTAATAGGAGATTAAATTTATCAAGACAGAAAAGCTTCCAGCTTCACTCTGAATTCCTGAGTGGTAGGTAAAATGAAAGGCTATAATCTGTCTGAATAAAAAATTGTAATATTTCCCATCTTAATGGAAAATTAATTTAAACATAAAACCATTTTTGTAGAATCTCACTAAAAAGTGAAGTTAGAATGCATGACATTTCTCAATGTCTATTTCAAGTGTCAATATTAACATTCTGTGATAGTTTCATGAAAAACACAAGATAAGGAACAGTATTTTAACTTTTTAAAGCCCTTATTCCCTTTACAAACTTTTTAACATACAGAAAAGTGATCACTGACACTTAAGCTATGAATTTAAATTTAAATGAAATACTGGAGATAAAATTAAGTGACACTGATTTCAAAATTAAATGTAACAAATTGCAAATTCAGTAAAGATTCCTATGGAAGTGGAATCTTTATACGTGGGGAAAATTTGATATTTAGGGTTTTTATGGATTCAAAGATAAAAATTGAATCCAAAAAGTAATGATCACGAAATAACAGTTTAACTCCTCACAATGACATGAATAGACATTTTATGGCTCTTTTAACATATTTTCATATTTTTGATTTATGAGCCTTTTAAAATAGAAAATGTTAAGTATCCATTACACTTTAAGGCTACAGACATCCTCAAATACAGCAATGAAATAAATGAAAAAAATCAAATCATATCAACCATAGATAATCAGATAATTTTACAATGTATATACGTGTTTAAGAGTAATTTTTAAAGGTAACTTAAATTTTTGTGCATTATAACTCTCAAGTCACAGATGGTTTTACTGAAAAGGTATTTCACTGTTACTCTTCTACTTCAAAGATACTTTGT